ACACACACACACACACACACACACACACACACACACACACACACACACACCACCCACCTTCCCCTGCGCCAAGACCCCGTCAAGGAACCAGTGAAAGAAAAACTGGAGGGATACCCTAAACCTAGGAAAGGCGTCCCGAACACAAGTATTCACAGGAGCTGTACCCCTCTCTCTCTTTCTCTCTCTCTCTCCAGACCCCCTTCCCAGGGGGAGGTTATGCCAAGAAGATATGTGGGAAAACTCTGGACAAAGTGTAGGGGGAGGGGGCTGGCCTAAGTCGGAGCCCTGCCTCAGGCGCCCAGGCACCCAGCTTTCCGAGGCTTGCAGCACAAGGCTGTCTCACACACCGCAATGAGAATCCAGGCGATAAATAACCCCCTCCCTTCTTCTCGCCACAAAGGAAAACAAAGCCGGTGGCCCGGGTGACCACGCACCCCATCACTTAGGACCCCGGGGCGCCCCCACCCTGCACGCGAATGGCCTCGCTGACCCGGAGCCCAGGGCACAGAGGAGGGGCCGCGGCTGGCCCGTACCCGCGCGCCCCCGGGACCCCTGCCAGGCCCCTGCCGCAGGTCCCCCGCCCCAGCCCGGGGCCGCCTCGGTGCAGCCGGCGGCCTGCGAGGCGCCCGTCCCCCTCCTCGTCCCCGGCCGCGCCTTTGTCCTCACGGGCGGCGCCCCCAGCCCTGCACGGACGCGCGTGTCCGCCCCGCGCTCGCGCAAAAAGAAAACACAAAGAGGCGGAGGGAACCCCGCTTCCCCGGCCCCCGATGCTCACCGCGCCGGGGCGGCCCGCCGGGGCGGATGCCAGAGGATTCGCGGGGCCGCGGGCGCGCCAGCCTCTCCCCGGCCCGCTGCGCTGCGCTCGGCCCGGCCGGGCTCAGGCTCCGCGCTCCACCGCCGCCGCCGCCGCCGCCTCCCGCTGCCCGCCCCCGCCGCCGGCTCGCGCGCTCCCGGCTCGCGCGCGCGTCCCCGCGGCTCCCATTGAGCCCCGGGCCCGCCCGCTGATGTCATCCCCCGCCCGCCGCCGCCACCCCGGAGGATTTAAAGGGCCCGCAGACCCCGGGAGCGCCCGCCGACGCTGCCGCTCTGGGCGAGGGGCCACACAGAACTCGGATTTCCTCCACTCCCGCCTTCTTGCCCCGTCTTCGGCCAAAGCTGCGGAGGCCCGGGAAGAGCGGGGCACTCCTGGGGCACTGCTAAAAGAGATTTAGGGCTGTGGCCTGGAGCCTGCACAGAACACTGGCCAGGCGCTTGGAGGCTCGGGATGGAGGGGCGTGGACAAGGGCCAAGGAGGTAGCCCGAAGAAAACTCAGGGCAGACCCTTTTTTTTACTCTTTCCTCTGGGCAGCTCAGCTTCACTGTGGCAGGACCTCAGAGCCCAGTGAAGTCTCATCCATTGAGCCCCTTGCCCCCACCAAGAACTCACACTGAGTCAGGGGCCCAGAGGTGCTCATTCAGCCAAGTCATGTCCCAGACAAGGCCTGGGTTTCCTTAACTGCAAACGAATGAGGAAGCAGGCCCACCCCCTCCCCAGGTCACGGGAGAGTTAATGAAGGCTTCCAGCCCAGCCATGAAAGGTCCCAGCACAAGGCTATTAAAACGATATTTACATTGGGTCCTGCAAAGCTCCAACTTATGACACACCTACATTCACACACACACAACTGTGACTATGGACACAGTGCCTCTGATCACCCCGGAAGCACGGCCCTGAAAGAGTCACCTCATAATAACTGCAGCTTCTCCCCAAGGCTGAGGAGCTTAATCAGAAGCTCTCCAAATGGCTGGGAGTTCTACAGACAGGTCCCATCACAGGGCAGGCTATTGTGGCCCAGAGAGGGCAAAAGGTCTGCCCAGGCCCACACAGCCCAGCAAGATGGCCGTGTTCTTCTGGTGGTCCTGGGGATGCTGACCAGAAGAGCGGGAAAGCCAGGAGGCATCTGTGATGGTAACCTGGGCACTGGCCCTCCGTACCACCTTTACCCAGGCAGGGACCATCAGCCAGATAGTGGGTTGACCTTGGCTGGGCTTGCTTCTTAGCTTTGTTTTTGTCAACTGAGGCCCACATTGTCTTAAAATCTTTGGCCACACTGGGCACAAACCTTCACCAGAGGCAGCTGGTCTGGGTAGCAGTGAGCTCCTGTGGTCAGAGCCCAGGAAGTGGGGCCCTGGTGAGACTGAACAGAACACAGCAAGCGCCAATGTCCTATCTTTACCACCCCCAAACCTTCCAACCCAGGCCCAGCTTTCCAAATGTGGGCCTGTTCTTCCTCAGTGCCAGGAGAGGCATCTAGCTCGTTTAACCCTCTCCAGTGAGGGTGGCAGGGAGGCAGAATTGACATTCGCTCCATGGTTTCCAGAAAGGGAATTGGAAGGCTCCTTAGCACTCACTCAAGAGCACAGGTCAGCCAGTGCTAAAGCCACTAAAGCCACGCTCCTCCCACTTCCTGGCCATCACATGCCTGCTGGAACAAAACTTCTGTCTGTGGTCCTCTGTCCCAGCTTTCCCTCCTCATCCTGTCACTTGCCCTCCATTCCAGGACTTGTAGCCTCTTCCGAGTACACACCCTCCCGCTGACCTTTGTGCCCTTAGATCTGACACCCACAAACCTACTGAGAGGTACAGGGTGGCTGGACCCTTCTAGGCCCCTCCCAGACCTGCCCCCCTTGGAAGGATGCTTTCCACACAGTTGTCTGCTTCCTGATCCTCTTCCTTCCTACACCCCCATAAGTCCAAGCTGTGAGTCCTCTACTAAGCTTTACAGCTGAGCTCGAAGGGGGAACAGCCAGTGACGCAACACCCAGGAGAGGTGAGGGAAGGAAAGGAGGGGGGACTTCTTCCAAGCAGAGAGCCTGCCTGCTTCTAGCAGCCAAGGGCTTGCCTTCTGCATGCTCTGCGCTACCTCTCAGCTTCCAACTCTCAAGCCCAAAGGTGTAGCCAGATGCGTTCCCTCCACTCACCCACAAGACGCAGGCAGACGAACCCAGCTCATCAGGGGCCACAGCAGCTTTTTACAGTTCTGTGTGGTCATGAGCAGCAGCTTTCCCCTCTCCTTTCCAAACTGGACATCTGTACTGTTTCTTACTTTCACACCCCTCATGACTGAGCACTGAGCACTCCAGAGCACTGCGGCACCATGTCCCTGCCTGCCGCTTTGTTGTTTGTTTGTTTGTTTGTTTTTCTGAGACAGGGTTTCTCTGTATCGCTCCGACTGTCCTGGAACTCACTCTGGAGACCAGGCTGGCCTCAAACTCATAGCGATCCTCCCTCCTCTGCCTCCCAAGTGCTGGGATCAAAGGCTTTGAAGCCTTGGGGCTGTCCTGGACTTTGTAGATCAGGCTGGCCTTGAACTCACATCGATCCACTTGCCTCTTCCTCCCCAAGATTACAGGCATTGGCTCGCCTGCAGTTCTCTTGGCCGTCTAGTTGCTCCTCTGTTATGAGCACCTGCCCTGGCCCTGGCCATTCAGCTTCCTGGTACCCTGTTGTGAGAGCGCAGCATGCACTTCCCTGGGGCTCCATGCTCAGGCCTTCCTGTCTCCTGATTTAAAATTCTTCTCCTGGCCCGGCAGGACTGGCCTATTGACTAGAGTGCCTACCCTGCAGGCCTGAGGACCTGAGCTTGATCCTCCAAACCCACACTAAGATAGGAGAGGACTGATCTCACAGGGCTGTCCTCTGACCTCTACACAGGCTCCGAGGCACGAATATACCCCTCTCCACATCTCGTCACGCAAAATTTAAAATTAATTGTATGGGATCCATTCTGGACCTCGAGCCCTAGACCCCGTGGGGTTGCCCTCGCTCCTGCCGCTGTTGCCCACCGACGCTCAGTGCTATAACACACTCTGGGTGCCACCTTTGTTGTTGCTCATCTCTGTCTCCCGCTTAGCGGGACTAAGGTTCATAAAAGCGGGGAGTGGATGCTATTTTGGGTTCCTCTGTGCTGTGAATATCTGTAATAGTGTCTGGCACCTGGGAGAAATTTAACGAATAGCTGATGAATGAATGGACTGTGACAAGGCCTCTGCCCTCCCTCCCTCCTTTGTCCAAACGTGAAGAGTCTGCCCCTGGTGTCAGGCCCTAGCAACAGACCACATTGCCAGCCTCAACTCAGGAAACAATCCCCTCCAGCCCCAGGGGAGGCAGCGGCCTGCCAGAGCTTCTTCACCCAGGCTTGAGAAGGACTGAGCCCTTGGCACCCTCCTTCTGGCTCCTCTTCCAAACCATCCTCCAGTAAAGAAGCAACTCCCAGAGCCGTGGAGAATGTACGGGCACTGGCAGCCAAGCCTGACATCTGCTTCCTGGGACCCGGGTGGGGCGGGGGAGAGTACTGACTCCAGCAAGGTGTCCTTTGCTCTCCACAAATGGGCCCCCGGCACACATAACAAGTAAATAAATGCAAATTTAAAGTACTAAAGTGGCTGGAGAGGTGGCTCAGCAGTTGAGGGCTGCCAGAGCCATGTCTTCAGCCCCCCATAAACATAAAAATTGAAAAGTTAAATGTAAATATGTTAGCCACATGTGGCGGTGAACACCTTTAATCCCAGCACTCGGGAGGCAGAGGCAGGCAGATCTCTCAGTTTGAGGCCAGCGTGGTCTACAGAGTGAGTTCAAAAAGAAACCCTAACTCGAAAAATAATAATAACTATTTGAAAGCTCAGGCCTCCCAATCAGAGAGCTTTGGGCTCCCAGGGGCTGCCTTACTCGCCTCTACCGACTTCTGTCCCTACAGACTGAGGTCTAAGGAGGCTAAGAGCCTGGTGGGGGAGCTGGAAGAGGCTGACTTCTGGGGGTGAACATAGTAAAGTTCACATTCCCAGCACTTCAGAGCAGAGGCAGGAGTGGGTTTGAAGCCATCCTGATCTACATAGCAAGCTCCAGACCAGCCAGGGCTACGCGTCAGAGACCCTGTCTCAGACAACAACAGCAGCAAAACCAAAGACTGGAGGAGAGCTGGGACAGCAGGTAAAAACTCATACTGTGGAAAGCCCATGCCAACCTGTACACAGCCACCTGTAACTCCAGCCAGGGAATCCAACACCTCTTCTGGCTTCCACGGGAACCCACACTATGTGCATGTAAGATCTCACCACCACCTTCACACACGCACGCACGCACGCACGCACGCACGAATGCAAGCATATAATTAAAATTTTTAAATAAAATTAAAAAACAAAACAACAAAAAGCAGCTGTCTTCAAATGCTGAATCTTCCACTTTCTAACAGGACAATGCTAGGGCAAGTTCCTTCAAGCCTCGTTTGTAAAGTGTAGGATGGTGTAGATTAAAAATCCACACATCGGCTGTGTGCGGTGACTAATGCCTTTAATCCCAGCACTCAGGAGGCAGAGGCAGGCGGATTTCTGAGTTCGAGGCCAACCTGGTCCACAGAGCGAGTTCCAGGACAGCCAGGGCTACACAAGAAACCCTGTCTCAAAAACAAACAAATCCACAAAACCCGCTTTGTTCGGAGGACAGCCTGAGCGGGAAGCAGTCGTGGGTGCCTTTTCTGCTTTTAGGAGAGCTGACTTAAATCAAAGCCTCTTCACTAGGGTTCCTTTTAGTGTTGTAAGCTATGCCTGGTCACTTCCTGCCTCCTTCACCCTTCCTCCAAAGGACCATAACCAGCCCCTTCAGGGGTGGACGGGGTTGGAAGCCTGCAGATCTACTTGTACTCACTTGAACCACTAACCTTGCCCACCTTGCTCTGAGCATCTGGGCCACCAGCAGGGAGCCCCTGGGTGTCTTTTTGGAGCCTGCTGAAGTGTAGCTTACCCAAGTTGTGAGGTGTTCCCCCAGGGGGCTGCCAGCCTGTGGGTGCTGCCCTACTGCTCTGTGGGGCCCAGCTCCCTGTCCCCAGATGTTCCGAGAGGTTTTCTCTGGTCCTTCCAGCCACAGGCTGGG